AAACTACTGTCCCCTCCACCCCCTGCCAGGATGTTGGGAGGGAGGGGTCTGCACCTCCCGCTTCTCAGTCCTTTCTGTCCTCATTTCTGGATGAAGTAAAAAAAAAAAAATCATAGCCTGCGAGTCCTAAAGCAGGGCCCCCTCCCTCACTACCCGGGATCTGCACACACCAGTCCTTCAGTAGCCATCCTGGCACCACTGTTCTGGGATTTCTAAGCTGGCAACTCTCCATGTGGGACTGACTGTTGGTTCTCTCCCGCTGGATAGGATGGAATTGTCCAGCTGGAGTGGAGTCCACAGAGCTCTTTCCTCTCCAAGGGTCTGGGCCAACCCTTTAGCTCCTTTTAGGCCATGGCTGGTTTTGGTTCTCCAAGGTTATAAACGAGGAAGGGCAGTTCACAAGGGCTCATAATGGTATAAACACTCAGACTCACCACCTGGAGTCGCCAGCCTGACACATAGCTTGCTATCGCAACTCTAAGAGATGCTTCTCTTTTATCCTTTTTAAAGGCTGCTTGAAGTCTATGATTTTCTACTTGGTACAAGGCAAACAGAGCTATTTAGGGAGTTGAGGAGGCATGTGTGTGACCTGACAACAAAGAGTGTGGTTCTGTCTTCATTCTTGGTGGTGGTGGTGTTGTTTTATAAAAAGTCATGTGATAATTCATTTATTGCAGCCTGCCTAGTCTATAGGGAAAGGAGGAAAAAAATGGGGGAGGAAATGGGCTCTGTCTCCTAACATGTTAGGTAGTTGTGTGTGTGTGTGTTTGTGTGCCCGTGCTGGCATGGTGGTAAAGGTGGGGGTGGGGTGGGCAGGAAGGGACCCCGCCACTCAGGAGGGGCTTTTGCCAGGCCCAATGCCTGATCACTTCCTCGTGGCTTCTGAGCCAAACTACAACAGATAGTGCTGCAGGTGGTCTGGGTGGGGGGCCCATTCTGAATCCCTGGGGATTTCAATACAATGGAAGTAGGTGGGAAAGTGAATTTCTTGAAGGAGATACCTCATCAGAACCCTGGATCAGCCCAGGGAAGACCTAGATGTGTCCATATATGCTGTGGGCAGTAATCAGGCATGCTCTTGAGGGCGATGATGGAGGGCATGGCTGCCATTTTTTCTGATCTGGCTTGAGGGAAGGGTGCCAGGCCCACTGCACAAGAGAACACAGGATGCAACCCCAGTTAAGAGTTAAGAATGCTTGAGGACTTAAGGTTGTGCTGCATCCTGACAGTCCATGAGAGAGGGAGGAAGGGCATCCTGACTCCACCCCGTAGGCTCTGATCCCTCCTTCACCACTCAATAAACATTCAGTAAGTACCCACTCTCTGCCAAACACAGCTGGGCACTGAGAACCCAGAAGTAAATAAGGCAGTCTCTACCCTCAGGGGCCTAGAGAGGGAGACATAAAGAAACACATAATTGCGGCACAGGTTAAAAAAAAAAAAGATCTGATGATCCAACGTGCACAAGGTGCCGGGGGGCGTCCTGAGGCGTCGCCACTAAGGAAGGCTCAGCTGAGACACAGGGGCAGGAGAGCTGAGCTTCTAGGCTTTGCCTGACTCAAAAGTCATGCCAACTGCTGCCCTGGATGGGAAAAGGATCAGAAAGGAGGGAGATGGTTGCTCTGGGCAGCACTGAAAATGCTCCTGCCAATGTATGCCCAAGCTGACAAAGCGTGGTGTATCAGCCCACTGTCTTCCCTCTGCAGACAGACAGAAGGTTGTGTTCAGTCATGTCCAACTCTTTGTGAGCCCATGGACTGGAGCTCACCAGGCTCCTCTGTCCATGGGATTCTTCAGGCGAGAATACTGGAGTGGGTTGCCATTTCCTTCTCCAGGGGATCTTCCTGACCCAGGGTTCAAACCCGGGTCTCCTATATTGCAGGCAGTCTCCTGCACCACAGGTGGATTCTTTACCAACTGAGCCACTAAGGAAGCCCTCATTCCCTCTGCACAGAGCTGTCTAATACAAGGAGGTAAGGAAAGTCAGCTACTTCTTAACTGAAAGACTAAACTATAACTTCTGTGATCCTGGAGCAATTCTCCAAGCCATGGAATCCTAACAATCAGTAACCCAGCCGCACAATTCTGGGAAGAAAACCAGAACTCCTAGGCAAAAGAGGAATTGAGATTTGAAACATGAACAGAAGGAACAGGTCCTGGTCCCATAGGAGCCAGGAGCTTTCTGATTCAGACTCTAAATGCCCCAAGGGTCAGGGCTCCTAGAGAAGTAGCACGGATAACCACTGCTAGCACGGTCACCACTATCACCACTGCATACGAGCCCAGATGATGCCTTCCCAATGTGACCCAGGCACAGATGCAAACACCATTCATCCACACCTCCCCGGCGCCTGGCCAGAACACGCACTCTGCCTGCAAAAGGAGTTGGCTGACAATCCCAATCATGGGTGCCTCCTGAGTAAGAAAGGGAAATTTGATTAGGATGGTGGAGAAGCCTAAAAAAAAGAAATCACCATAATCAGTCCCTAAAGGGGGATGGGAAGAAAAATGACCCTTGATCTGGGGAAATAGCTCTTCATCTCCAGCTGACCATAAGTGGGATTAACTCTATGAGTCCAGACCTGGTGGAGAAGTGGCACTCAGTAACGCCAAAAAAATACTGTCCCTTGGGAAGGTCAATGTCCCAAGGGTCCCAGGACACAAGAAAGATGCATCCTTAGAGCTAGCTCCAGGTCTTGAAGAAAGAAAACAGTCCCCAGAGTGATGCATTCCTCTTTAAATAGTTCACAGAGGCATAAAAAAATTTCTCCTTTAGAGGAGAAAGCGTAAGGACAGAGACACACATATATTGGCTTGGGGTCACACAGTAAGTTGGTGCCAGAAAGAAGTTGGGCCTCTTGTCCTTCGGTGTGCTATTTCTAGTGTCTCTGACTTTTTATGAGTCTCAAGTAGGGCCAAGAAGGGGCCCTTCTCTAATTTGGGGATGGTGCCAGCTTGGTTAGCCAGGTCCTCTGACCTTGAATGAAGCATTGGAACCAAGAAAAATGGGTCTATGGAGCCAAACTCTCTCCCTTGCTATGACCTCCCAAAGTCACTTATCTGGTAAAAGGGGTAGAGTGGGGGAAGTTCAGGAAAATGACCGTGAAGGCAAGTGTAACAGATGCACCCAGCTGTTGTCACTAGGGTGCACAGATAAGGGTGAAGTGCCAAAGGCTTCAACGGAGTTGCACGCAAAATCATGATTGACAGAGGAAGTTAGAACAGGGACCTGAGGTCCCTGGGATGCTAGTGCTGGCTCTAAAGATGGCATGTCATTGGCCTGACACACTCAGTAGGCATATAAGAAGGTTCTCTGGAATTTGCCCTTAGGTGTGGGGCTTCCCCTTAGGACATCCCCCAGACTGACAGAGTGGTGGTGAGATTTTCTTCCCTGGCCACCAGCTGAAACTGGTGTTGACCAGTTAACTATTAATACTGCTAACACCCCACCGACAGCAGCAACCAAGGACTTCCCCTGTGGTTCAGTAGAGAAATCACCAGGTAAAGCCCACTAACTCCCTTTTGGACATAGGATAAAAGAACATCTCTATGGTTTGGCTTTCTTATGTATAAAATGCAGAGTTCTAGACAAGATGTCTTCTAGCTTTTTTTTTCCAGTTGCCGAACTGAGAATTTGTTATGAGTTCAAACTTCATTTTTCCCAGTACAATGGCTGAGAGTGAGCTGTCATCACCACCCTCTGGGATTTCTCTCATTTTTCCCAACAGGCTAGCACGTATGTACTTTGTGTCTGTTCACACCATGGCCCCTGTGAAACCTTTCCAGCAACTGGCTTAGCTGCCTAGTCTGCTCCTTCTCCTAGGAAACATAGACTCCTCCCTCCTGCAAGTCTGAACTTTAGGTCTCAAGCAGAGGTGGGCAAGCGTAATGGACTCATACAGCAGCAGCAGCTCTGGTGTTGTTGGTGCTGGAAGAGAAGCTGGGGAATGGGGCGGTGGCGGGTGGGGGGGTGGGCGGGATGTGGAACGGATCTCCCTATGTTCTCAAACCCAGAGAGGCTCAGGGACTCTTGAGACATGAAACAGGATTGAGCTAGCATTTCATGATCTGGCCCAGCTGCATTCTCAGCTCCAGCAGAGAATTTCCAGCATCCTTGATCATGCTGGGTTTGATTTTTTTTTTTTTTTTTTTTTTTTTTTGGGTTTGATTTTTATGGAGGAGGAGACTGAGGCCCACAGAGGTGAACATATTGCCCAGGTTATTCAAGTTTAACAACTGAAGGCAGACTGGGGGTGGGAATCGAGGCAGCCCCAGTCTGACATTTTCTACTTTTTCAGCTCCAATCAAAAGATTTTGAAAGGACCTCTGAACTTCCCCCCATCCAACATGGGGCCTATTTAAAGAAGCAAAATAATATCAAACTCCAGGGGATTGAGCCTGGTCCTGAGAAGGGTGGGCAAAGTTTGGGAGAGTTCTGGGAAAAACATCCACACCTGGAGGCCATTCCTGTCCTTTCTCAGCCTTTGGAGGGAGGGAGGCAGAGGCCTGCAAAAGGAAGAGATGAAAGCCCCTGAACCCATTCTCTCTGAAGGAAGGGAGAGGAAAGGTCTAGATTCCCCACTTCCTCTTTTTTCTTTGCCAGCAGGGCCTCCCAGCCCTCAGGCCTGAAAAATCCCCCAATCGTGAATGTATTAAGGGTCTGCTTGGGCCAACAGGAAAACCCTCTCCTCCCGCTCAAACCCACCTTTTTGGCCTGACAGACCCTCATCCGAAACCGAGAGACTACCGATAAAAGCTTTACCGAATCCCTTGCATTCCCTCCACCCCAACACCCTCTGCAGTCAAGGCGCCACTAGGGTGTCCCTTCCTAGGATAAATTACCCCAAAGTGAGATTTTCCCAGAAAACTAGACAGTGCCGCTCACCACGTTCGCCTTGAACGGGGCATCCGGGAACGACCCCTCCTCAGAGCTGGCAGCCCACTCAACCCCCCAGGGAGTGCCCTGCATCCCAGGTGCCCCTAAAACCCCCAAGACTCACCCAGAAAAGCATGTTGAAGAAGAAGAGCAGGTATTTAACCAGAGGGCTGACGAAGGAGAAGTCCTCCCCATAGGCGGCCGGCGCCCCGGGTCTCCGGGCCATGGTCCAGCCGCCGCTGGCCCAGGGGGCCTATCTCCCCACGGCGGCCGGCCCACCTGCGCGCTCCGCGCCGGGAGGCATGAGCTGCACCACCGCCGGAGCCTTCGGCGGGGGAACTGCGCTGCGGCGGGAGGTGCCCGCGCCGTGCGTCCGGGAGAAGCGCGGGCAGGGGAACGGCGCCGCCACTGGAGCCGCCGGGAGACGCGGGAGCTGCCGCTGGCAGCGTGAGCGGCGGAGATTCCGCTGCGCCGGGAGGACCAGCCTGGCCCGCCGGGCTCCCAGGAAACCGGGCCCGCCCTCGACCGCCCATTGGCTCGTCTGCCGAAGCCTGACTTCTCATTGGTCGATCTCTGATGTCACTAAGTATCCAACCGTCCCTCTTTTCCGAGAGGCGGGGGAGACACCTGTTCAGTGAGGGACAACTTGTTAAAGGGTCAGCCGTTCCGCCTCCTCCCCGGAGAAGGAAAGCATCCAGGCTCCAGCTACTCAAGGGAAAAAAGGATAAGAAGGAATGCACACTGCCATCACACACCCACGTCCTCTACCCAGTTGCTGAGCACATATGCAAACACACATACATTAAAATCAACAAGTACATACACCGTATGTTAAGCAACGCGTTGAAAGCTGTGGGAATACAAGAGAATAAAAGAAATCCACCCTCCATCCCGGGGTGGGGGGCGGATGACAATAAAATCAGAGAGACAAAACTAACCTACACATGACAATTAAGAGTATTTAAGAGGAGCTGCTATCCTGTTTAATAACTATATATTTTAAATGCTTATTTCAAAAAACACTATAATCCAATAGTGGAAATTTGGAAACATCACCATCAATCCTGCCATCCTGATTTATTACTCTTTCAATTCCCATCTCACTATTTAAGTCTAGGTCTCCAAGCAAACAGCGTTTTTAACACACTGATCTGACACACATGTCAAATGCAGGGCAGGTGACAGACACTGTGCTGGCTACCTAATGCACACGTGAATGCTGTCAACTGAATATTTGAATCGTTTCTCTCCCCAAATTCATATGTTGACATCCTAACCCCTACAATTATAGTGTTAGGAAATGGAGCCTTTGGGAGGTGCTTAGGTCAATAAGAATGGGGTCTTTATGAACGACATAAGTACCCTTGTAAAAGAGACCCCAGAGAGCTCCCTCATCCTGCCTGCCCTGTGAGAACACAGTGAAAAGACAGCTGCCTATGAACTAGAAAGTGAGAACTCGCCAAACACTGAGTTGAGGGTGCCTTGGTTTTTGACTTCTCAGCTTTCAGAACTGTGAGAAATACATTTCTGTTGTTAGCTACTCAGTTTATGGCATTTATGTTCTAGCAGCCCAAATAGACTAAAACAATGACTTCAACCTTGTTATCTGCAGGAGTTGGGCAAACTATGCTTAATCTCCTGGAGCCTCATTTTCTTTAGTGCTGAACAGGGAGAGTGTTGGCCTAACGACATTGATGTGAGGATTAAATGAGATAATGCATGCAAGTCACTTAGCACAAGTTGGCACATAGAAAGTTCACTGAATGCAGTATTTTGTTTGAACAGAGTTTAGAATCCAGTCAGGAAGTATGACAACTACACAAATTTGGTAGAGAGTTAGTAAAGATATCATGGCAAGTGAAATTAGGGGAGGATAAGATTTAGGGCTTTCCTGGTGGCTCAGACAAAGAATCCACATGCAATCCAGGAGACCTGGGTTCAGTTCCTGGGTTGGGAAGATCCCCTGGAGTAGGGCATGGCAACCCACTCCAGTGTTCTTGACTGGAGACTTCCATGGACAGAGGAACCTGGCGGGCTACAGTCCATGGGTAGCAAAGAGTCGGACACGACTGAGTGATGAAGCATACACACGCAAGATTTAGAAGAGCAGAGATGAGGGGAAAATGATAATCCAGGTGAATAAAAGGTGAACCAGAGCCTGGAGAGCACAAGCACTGTGTGTTTAGTGAAAAATAAGCCGACTGGTTTGGCTGGAGCATAGAGTGTGCTGAGTATAGCAATGTAAGGTTACATTGGCTGTTGCCAATTCATGCTGAATTGAGTTAAAATCTTATAAATACTTGAATATCAGATTGGGGAGTTAGTGTTTAATTGATTTAGGAATAAGAGTTTGGAAGAAGGGAAAAGACCTGTGGTTTTTTTTTTTTTCTTTCAGTTAGAATGGGAAAGAGACTGCAGAGAGGAATGTTTGTTAGAAAATCACTGTTAATAGTCTAGATAATCAGAAACTTGGGGCTTTCCTGGTGGCTCAGACAGTAAAGAATCCACCTACAATGCAGGAGACTCAAGTTTGATCCCTGGGTCCGGAAGATCCCCTGGAGGAGGGAATGGCTACCCACTCCAGTATTCTTGCCTGGAGAATTCCACGGGCAGAGGAACCTGGTGGGCTACAGTTTATGGGGTCACAAAAAGTCAGAGATGACTGAGCAGCTAACACACACACACAATTGGAAACTAGGATCTGATTTAGGGGTAATGTACAGAACTGATGGAAAAGGATAGAAGTGAATCCACGGGAAAGAGAGAATCATTTTGGTGGGGGTATAGGGGTGATAGGAGAATCAGGAGTGGGAGTCAAAGAAGTGAGCCAAGGCCAGGTTACTGGGAGACTGGCCATTAACAGGTTAAGGCGACCACTTGGAAATCAATTTCAGTATGAAGGGGATGGTGTGTTTGGGAGCCATTTTATAAGACATTAAAGATTAAATGGGTAAGTGAAGGGTGGTTACCCATTTTCAGATGTTAGAGGGGTGAGGACTGAGAAAAAGACCAAGCTGCTGAACGTTTCTATTAGATTGATCACCCAGAGATCAGTTTTAGTACAGACTGGGCAAGTAGCCCAGTTTATTTTAGCCAAAAGAAAATGAATAATGGGGGATAGAATTAATAAAATAAATTGGAGACAGATCATGGAGGGCCTTGAAGTTGTTTACAGTCTACTCTGTAGAGTACTTGAGAATTCTAGTGAGCCCCAGATACGAATAACTCATCAGCCCATAATGCCTGTAGGACAATGGCTGTGTTTCCCTGACACTTAGTAGCATGTTCCTTGTGGGATGCTCAGAGTATATTCATTGTTCAAAACATGACTCTATTGAAGGACTTTTGATTGGATACTAACATGCTAAAATCTCCTTTGGGAAGACTTAGAAACTAGGCTGATAATAATGGTGAGAAGAATAAGAATTTAAAGAGGGCTAGCTGAGTGAGTTGGAGGAATTGAAGGCTTTATAAAGGAGCTTAGGGCTTGGATAAGATAGAGGGTGAAACAGCATAAGCAAAGATGAGGAGTCAGGAATGAGTTGAGGACACCATGATGACTACTAAGGAGGTTGTAGTTTGGGGTGCTTTAAGAAATGAGATTCCAAAAGAGAGTCAGGAATGGTTTAGGGGGTCTAAAATTGATCAGATATCTGTTGATACATAGTAAATGACCTCTGATCATACTTGAACTCAAGATTTGGGGTTTTAGAAATTGTGTCTATCTATGTTTTTTCATATAAGAAGAACTTCTAGTACAATAAGAAGGACAAAATTGGATAAGATTATTCTGAGCCTAAGAAGAACTAATAACTCAAGAATGCCTAAATGAAGGGAATATTAAATCAGATTTATATTGGATTATGTTCCTTTTAAATTTATTAGACAATTGAAATATGACTGAGTACAGCTGCATATATGAAATGGGAATATGACTGGCAATGTTAGCAATTTTAGTTAAAACAAACTTAATGAAGAAAGCAGAAAAAAAAAAGAAAAGAAAGCAGAACATTTGCTGAAGACCACATAGGAAATTGTATACTCTTATTGAAACCTGACAATTTATCCCCCTTCAGGAGGTTGAACCCTCCTGATTACATGTTCAAGTCAAGGTACAACCCAGACACACCTGTCCCTTTCACAAAGCATTCAGAGGGTCTCCCAGGAACTTCTACTGGTATCTATTGGCCAGAACTGGGTCACATTGCCACCTTAGCTGCGAAGGGTCTGGGAAAATAGTACTATTAACTAATGTACTACTTCTCCAAGGAGTTAGGGGGAAATGAAGCTCTATTTTTAAGAAAGAAGGGGAGGGAATTCTCTGGAGGACCAGTGGTTAGGACTTGGCACTTTCACTGCTGTGACTCAGTTTCAAACCCCGGTCAGGGAACTAAGATCCTGCAAGCGATGTGGCATGGCTAAAATAAAGAAAAAAATAGAAAGAAGGGGAGAAAGGATAGGGGAAGAAAGCTAGAAAAATATCTGTCACCAGTGTTTATTATATGTTAGAGTGTCTATTGGAATATGTCTATGTGTATTAATTTGGATGCTTGTGTGAGCCTAATGTGTGAGTTAAGGTCAACAGAACTGGTTACAAATTCATCCAATAGATATTCGCTTCTTGGCATAAAAAGCATGTGAAGATGAATGAGCCACTATTATTGCCCTTGAGGAGCTCATGATCTAGCTGGAGAATCAGGAGTGTATGTAACTCTAAATGGAACCTTTGGACCATCTACCCTGTCCCCACTTACCCTTAAGTGCTCCGTCTCATCGCATGGTGGCAGCCATTTTGTACCGTGTGATCTTGCCTACTCACCATCCACTCTACCCAGACACTCCTGACATCAAAGCTGGGTCAACTAGTTCCTTCCCCCTCAAAATAGAGAGATGATCACTCTCTCTTTGTGTGGTTAAGCCTCTAACAGATAAACTTAGTAACTGAGGGACAGCCATGTTTTTACATAAGGACCAGGGAGCAAAAGAGAATTGATCTTCAGCAGGTGAATGAATCACCTTCGGACAAGAGCAGAGAGATAGTTGGAGAGAAGAGTCTTTCCACTTCCCGGATGAGTTCCTTTCTCAGGCCCAGTTGCCTGCTTGCCCTTGGGTCCTAGGGATTACTTTGTTATCTTTCAAATCTATGTTCTATTAGGGCTTCCCTGATAGCTCAGTGGGTAAAGAACCGCTATTAAGCCAGTTTTTTAAAATCTGTGATCTTTAAAATTTTTTGGCTGTGCATTGAGGCTTGTAGGGGTCTTAGTTCCACAAACAAGGATTGAACCTGGGCCCCAGCAGGGATAGCACTGAGTCCTAACCACTGAGCCACCAGAGAATTCCCTTTATTTATTTATTTATTTTTTATGGTATTTTGCTTTTTGTTTTTTATTTATGTTTTCTTTTTTTTCCCATTTATTTTATTAGTCGGAGGCTAATTACTTTACAATATTGTAGTGGTTTTTGTCATACATTGACATGAATCAGCCATGGATTTACATGTGTTCCCCATCCCGATCCCCCCTCCCACCTCCCTCTCCACCCAATTCCTCTGGGTCTTCCCAGTGCACCAGGCCCGAGCACTTGTCTCATGCATCCAGCCTGGGCTGGTGATCTGTTTCACCCTGGATAATATACATGT